AAGAAGGGAGAGGGAGAGAGAGAGAAACATCAAAGATAAAAGAGAATCACTGATCAGTTGCCTCCTGCACAACCCCTACTGGGGATCAAGCCCACAACCCAGGCATGTGCCCTTGACCGGAATCGAACCCAGGACCCTTCAGTCTGCAGGCCGACGCTCTAGCCACCGAGCCAAACTGGCTAGGGCTCAAGTCTTTTTTTTTAATTAATGATTTGCCTAGATTTTTCTTGCACTGCCGAGATGGTATTATACACCCAATTTGGTTCCCTACTCCTTCTCTTTATCTCTCACCAAAAGTGTTCGGTTTCATTCATTCTTACTAAACTCTCTGTTTTAGGAGCATAATTATTTTTGATTCATGTTTAGCGTGAAATTATAGTTAATATGCATATAAACATCAGGTGTTCATAATAATCTGGCCACTCAGTGTATGTCCAATCTTTTTCTTGGTTTTTAGAACTTTGTATTTTTTTGCTTGATAATTTCCCCTAGATCTCATTATCCCCTAGATAATTTCCTGTTTTGATATTTATAATTTACTAGAGGCTTGGTGCATGAAATTTGTGCACTGGGGGAGGGGTGGTCCCTCAGCTCAGGCTACACCCTCTTGCAGTCCAGGAGCCCCCAGGGATGTCCGACTGCTGCAGAGGTGGGAGGGGCTCCCGCCATCGCCACTACACTCGCCAGCTGTGAGCCTGTGGGACCGCACTGACCACCAGGGGGGAGCTTCAGAACAACATGTACAAGGGCTCTCAGGCAGGAAACCACCAGGGGGGAGCTCCTGCATTGAGTGTCTGCCCCCTGGTGGTCAGTGCACGTCAGAGCGACTGGTTGATCCACCGTTCAGTCGATTTGCATATTAGCCTTTTATTATATAGGACTCTAAGTTCACACCTTTTCCCTGCTGTATACCCTTCAGCCGCACTCAGTAGAATCCTGTGCCTGAGGAAGTGGGCCACTGTGGGGCTGGACTTTGGGAGGTTAATCTAGAACAGGGGTCCTCAAACTTTTTAAACTTATTATATAGGATTCTAAGTTCACACCTTTTCCCTGCTGTATGCCCTTCAGCTGCACTCAGTAGAATCTGTGCCTGAGGAAGTGAGCCACTATGGGGCTGGACTTTGGGAGGTTAATCTAGAAGATGACTTCCCAGAGGGAGGGGGGAGATAGCAGTCTTTAGGATTAAATCCTAAGGCAGGGCTGGTCCTCTTCACCCCACACAACTGACGGATCCACTTCCGGCCTTCCCCACCTTATTTTTTTGTTTGTTTGTTAATCCTCACCCAAGGATATTTTTCCATTGAATTATTTTATTTTATTTGTATTTATCTGATCTAGAAGATGACTTCCCAGAGGGAGGGGGGAGATAGCAGTCTTTAGGATTAAATCCTAAGGCAGGGCTGGTCCTCTTCACCCCACACAACTGACGGATCCACTTCCGGCCTTCCCCACCTTATTTTTTTGTTTGTTTGTTAATCCTCACCCAAGGATATTTTTCCATTGAATTATTTTATTTTATTTGTATTTATTTAGTAATATATATAGATAGATAGATAGATAGATATAGATATCACACATGCCCTGACCAGGGCCAGGGACTGAGCCTGCAACCAAGCTACATGCCCTTGACCGGAATCGAACCTGGAACCCTTCAGTCTGCAGGCTGACGCTCTATCTATCTACTGAGCCAAACCCGCTAGGGCCCTCACCGCACTTTTGGAGCTGCCTGCAGTTCCGGGAGCTTAGCATGCTGTCTTGCCTCTCACCGGGCACACAAGTGGGTTGGGCACCACCGGACTCCCCCCAGGCCGGGTTATCAGCCTCTCGTGTGCATTTAGGACACTCAAATGCCTTCCCATCGCTCTGTCTCGTCCTGGAGTGCCCAGCACCCTGGACAGTGGTGGACATGAATTAGAGGCATGATGCACAGTCAAGGCTGCCCTGCTCCTCGACGTGCAATCCACACGATGACCAGTAGGTGGCGCCCGCCACACACCATTTGCGGCTCCCGACTTGCCCAGGCTGTTCTAGTTCCATGGGGGACACCAGCCCTCCGGGTCCTCCTCCGAGCTGCCTCCTCTCTCTGCAGGTGCCCGAGGAGCCCAAGAACGCTGCCTCGCATCATGAGGACTCTACCCTCAAGGCACCAGAACCCTGAGCTCCCAGGGCAGGTGAGAAGCAGGTAAGGGGAGCGTGGCTTGTCAGTGGGGGATGGATGGATGGGCAGGTTCTCCCAGTGCGGGCCCAGCCCTGGGAATCAGATACCACCAGCAAAGGGGCAAAGAGAATGCATCAAAGAAATAGAATAGAGCCCTCCTGCCTGGAGCGGGCACGCTGGCACTGGTGGGAGAGATGCTCGGGGTCAGACCGCGTGGCACACACAGGGATGTGGGCGAGGTGCCCGGGTCTGGAATGAATGATGGCTTTGCTGCTTCACAGCCGAGTGCCTTTGAGGTTCTCCTCTCTCCGGGGACTCAGTCTCACTTACTTTTATTTTTAAATATATTTTTATTGATTTCAGAGAGGAAGGGAGAAATAGAAACATCCATGATGAGAGAGAATCACGGATCGGCTGCCTCCTTACACCTCCTACTGGGGATCGAGCCCGCAACCCGGGCATGTGCCCCGTGTTGGGAATCAAACCGTGACCTCCTGGTTCATAGGTCGATGCTCAACCACTGAGCCACGCCGGCCGGGCCTGAGTCTCGTTTATAAAAGTGGGGAGGACAGGACTAGCTCTATTCAGTCCATCAACTGGAGCAAGACCCTCCCTTCCTTCCTCCTTTCTGTCAACTCACATTTCCTTGCCTCTCATTTATAAAAGTGGGGAGGACAGGACTGGCTCTATTCAATCCATCAACTGGAGCAAGACCCTCTCTTCCTCCTTTCTGTCAACTCACATTTCCTTGCCCCTCTGGGGAGGCACCGAGCCATTTCTCCGGCCTTCTGCATCCAACCCTCCAGAGACCCCCACAAAACGGGTGCAATTACTCCCTCCCTTCATTTATTTACTTACTTATCTTTCCTCACCTGCGGATATCTTCCCATTGGTTTTCAGAGAGCGGGGAAGAGAGAGGGGAAGACAGAGAGAAACATCGATGTGAGAGAAACACATTGACCGGTTGCCTCCTGCACGTGCCTGCGGCCACGGTACCTGCCCTTAACCGGACTTGAACCTGGGATCCTTGGGTCCGCAGGCCGACGCTCTACCCACTGAGCCAAACCGGCCAGGGCCTCCCTTCCCTTGAATAGATGATGAGGGAGTTAAGGCTCAGAGAGGTTCTGAGCTT